ATATATATATATATATATATATATATATATATATATATATATATATGTATGTATGTATGTATGTATGTATATGGATCGGGCTCCACTCCGCAGCGATATAGCGCTTGGGCTGTAGGAGCCCCTCCAGAGTCTGCACACTCCCAGTGAGCGCAGTCGACTATATATATGGATCGGGCTGCACGCCGCATCGGTTACTATATGATACCTAATGAGTGTGAGTGCTGAGTGTGAGTGCTGATTGGTAAGAGTTGAGTCACGAGTGACTAAAAGGCTTGCCCGAGGGGCTATATATATAATACATGTACAGGAGTGATGTTTTGCCTGAGGGGCTAGTTATGAATTTACTGTTTTCATTCCTCTTTAAAGTGAGTTTCCATTGAACATGGTGATTTAATTACTGTTTTCACTCATCTTTAGACCGAGCCTCTATTGAAAATGTTGAACAAATGTTTTAAATAATCTTTCATTTAAACTGAAGTTTTTAAGCTACGAAAAGGATTGTGAATTTTCTGTTATGCCCGAGGGGCTGTATACGAACTATGTTTCGCCCGAGGGGCCGATGATGGTTTTCATCTATTTTATTATAAATGGTATTGAACCCCTACTGAAACTGTTGGAAAGCATTTTTTCAAATGATTTTACCCAAAAGCTGGATTTTAAATGAGACGATTGACTCGTATTCTGATTTGGAAGCCTGTTGTGCTGATTGAGTTTATCATAAATGTGGATTCATTGTTTTCCTACTGCTCAGTCTTTATTTACTCTTATTACTTACTGGGTTGGAGTACTCACATTACTCCCTGCACCTCGTGTGCAGATTCAGGTATTCCGGGACCCGGTAGCGGGTGTTGATTCCTTCCGTCTCATTTCCATTACTGTATTTAGCACATTTTTAGACTCTTGTCATATTCAGACCTTGGTAGATGCTCATGACTAGTGACACCCCGATGTCGGGCTGTATTTATTTTCGCACTTGTTTTATTTCACTAAATCTATACTTGTTGGGGTTTTATCCCTATAAATGACTTAAATAGACTTATTAAACTGTTAAAAAACTGAGTTTGGGAATGGTGTCGGCTGGCCTTGTCTTCACGAGAGGCGCCATCATGACCTGGCCCGGTTTGGGGTCGTGACAGAATGCCATGTAGTTCTGGGTAAATTTGGTAGCTGGGACTATCGGACACTGGAGTTAAAACTGATGTTGCTGATGTTGTTGTTATTGTCACTTGCTGCTTACATCAAAAGAAAAAGAAAAGAGAACTACATATGCATGTTATCTAAGAGATACAAAGTTCCTATCTATGTGTCTTCTAGAGTCAAATCTTGATTCTTGACCTGCTCGCTTGTGTTGACCTACGATTGTATCTTGATGCTCTTTGAAAAAAGTTTATGGCTCATTCTCGATTGCTTTCTTTCCTGATCTGGAATTGAGAAGATGAATCTTGAGACGCTGAGTTGCTGACGCGTTATCAAAACTAACTCCAACTATCTTATGATCAAAAACTTCTTTCTCCTAATGAGAACCGAAATCGCAAGCTTTAAATGACACAATCTGTACTTCATGGTAGGGTCCTGCAAAGCCATCAAAGACGAACAAAACGAACAAAAATTTTTTGCCCTAGTTTTGCACTAGGAAAATTTCGTGAGTTATTAAAGAAATCTATAAACTATCTAATTTGTTGAAAGGAAGACAAATACAGTCGTATAAACTAGCTATGTGAGGATATGCAACCAGGTGACAGTACCATGTGTTAAAGAGAGAGAACATAAATTGGGGATGGCGCCTGGTATTACTGAAAGAAAATGTAATCATGGCTTGTTACCTTTGTATTAAGGAATAGAATGTAACCAGGGGATGGTGCCATGTATTCCCGATAGGAAACGTAAAAGGAATGTAACTAAGGATTGGCACCCTGTATCCCTAAGAGAGAATATAACCAAGGGTTGGCGCCCAGTATAACTGAAAGAGAATGTAACCAGGGGTTGGCGCCCTGTATCACTAGGAAATGTAACAAGGGGTTGGCGCCCTGTATCACTAGGAAATGTAACCAAGGGTTGGCGCCCTGTATCATAGAACATGAATGTAACTAGGGGTTGGCGCCCTGTATCATAGGAAAGAATGTAACCAGGGGTTGGTACCCTCTATTATTGAAAGGAAATATAACTAGGGGTTGGTACCCTGGGTTATTTAAAGGAAATGTTACCAGGGGTTGGCGCCCTATATTATTGATAAATTGTTGAATCCCTCTAGGCGAAAAGGTCCTTCCTGAGTTAAGCTGCGTAAAATAGCCTGAGCAAAGAGTATTTCTACCCGAAAATATGAGCTGGATCCCCCTAGGCTAAAAGGTTCTACCCGAGTTAAGCTACGTAAAACATACCGAGCGAAGAGTAGTTCTACCCGGAAATATGTGATGGATCCTCCTAGGCGAAAAGGTTCTACCCGAGTTAAGATATGTAAAACAACCTGAGCGAAGAGTACTTCTACCCGAAAACATGAGTTGGATCTCCCTAGGCAAAAAGGTTCTACCCGAGTTAAGCTATGAAAAACAGCATGAGCAAAGGGAACTTCTACCCGAAAATATGAGATGGATCCCCCTAGGTAAAAAGGTTCTACTCGAGTTAAGCTATGTAAAACAGCCTGAGCAAAGAGTACTTCTACCCGAAAATATGAGATGGATCTCCCTAGGCGAAAGGGTTCTACCCGAGTTAAGCTACAAAAATAGGAGGTATGAACAGTAGTAATGCATGCTAAAAATGGAGATTTTGAGGAACTTATCTTTGGTGACATTCGTCTTTCGAGAATCGCCATTCTGCACTGCTTTGTTCCTGTTTCAAACAAAGAAAAATTATGAGTTTTTAAAGTGGTGGTCGATTTGTGGCCTTGATGCCCTGAGTAGTTTGAATTCACGACCAGTGTTGTCGAAGAACCGATTATGTCAGTGTGGTACCGAGATGCTCGGGGTACCCTGTATCGCTTTCTGGAGACCATGGCTTTTCGGTGTTTCCCTCGACTGTTTCATACCCGGATGTCCATGGTACCGCTAACCCTTGTCCCTATGGCAAGGAAATTTTTCCTTTAAAGTCAAACTTAGTTGTCTTGCACCCAGTACCAATTTGTATCTGTAGTGCTTATTAACTTTTCTCATGAAGCAAGTCTTGCTTAGGTGACCTTTTCAGTTTCTTTAAGACACTTTGTTCGGCTTATCGAAAGAGATCGCAGATTGATTTGTGCCTTCGTCAATGCTGTATATGCCCCAAATTGTGCTTGGTATTACGGGGAATCTGTAGCCAGTTTTGCAGCCATTTCTTTGATTCGTTTTTTATGCAACATTAGACCGAAACGTACTTAGAGAAAAATTATGGGAAAAAATAGAAGGCCAAATGAAAGTGAAAAAGGAATTGTGTCTGAACAAAAGGTGTCCCTTTCAGGGAGAGAAATAGGGAGACTTATCTGGACGTATGTGCCGACTTTAATGAATCATGACATGCACTTTGGACTTGACGCCTGATCCGTCGGAGCTGTCTAATTCTCAAAATCCATCGCAAATATTCATCTTGAAATTGCCTAGGTTGTGTTCATGCCGGAGTATCGAAGACCCCCATTCGGCTAGTAGCCCCCTTTACGGGTTTTTGCTAACTGACCACTCTCATTTCTCTACTCACTGTCGCCTTATGATGCCCATATGGGTTTTCACCAATAAGACTCTCTCATTTCTCTACTCATTGTCGCCTTACGCTGCCCATGTGGGTTTTCACCGATATGACTCTCTCATTTTGTTCCTTTATTTTTTTGGCCGCCGCTCTTGACTAAGATGTTACATGCGGCAAGTTGTCCAACTCCCTTGGCATGGAGTTAACATTCTTAGGGATCGATCAGAAGGTCGTAATGGGAAAAGGCGAAAAGAACCTTGAACTGAATTACAACTTTTGGAATCGTTTTTACAGAAAGGCCGTAAAAAATAAAAGATAAAAACTTTTTCCCTAGTTCTAGAATATTGCGGATATGAATTTTTTGTTGTGATGGGACCGAACTCGGGGTAAGGCTGCCTACGTATTCTATTCGAAATCAGGTCGAACATAGTTAACTAACTCAGAAGATTTGATGATTTTTTTTCTTTTTTCTTTCTTTTTTCCTTTTTTCGTTTTTGATTTTACAAGTGCACAGGTTCCAAAAAGAGGGTAAACAAAGAAGACAAATACGACTCAAAAGGGTTAACAAAAGGGTGATACCTATTTGGTATAGTGAGCAATGATAGCCTTCATCATCTCGATCTGAGAAAATCATGTGTGTAAGTTCAGCGGTGGGCATATATCAACATAATATCTTTTGACCGCATCTGCGTTAATCGTCATATCTGGTACCTGTCTTTCTTCATCTACCAAGTGCAAGGCCTCTTTTGGTAACACTTTCTTGATGATGTAGGGTGTTGCCAGTTCGGGGCGAACTTTCCTTTAGCTTCTACCTGGTGCGGAAGGATGCATTTCAAAATGAGTTGGCCTACCTCAAAGTGACTTGGGTGTACTTTCTTGTTATAAGTGTGTGCCATTCTTTGCTGGTATAACTAGCCAAAACACACTACTGCTAGCCATTTTTGGCAATCAGCATTAGCTATTCTAATCAGGTCTTGACCCACTCAGTGTCTTCAATCTCCAATTCCATAATGATTCAGAGAGAGCGAATTTTGACTTCAGCTAGTATTACAGCTTCAGTTCCATATACCAACAGATAAGGAGTTGCCCTAACAGATGTGCGAGCATTCGTCCAGTATCCCAAAACAGCAAAATGCAATTTTTCATGCCATTGCCTGGACCCTTGGATCATCTTCCTAAGAATATTCTTGAAGTTCTTGTTTGCCGCTTCAACGGCTCCATTGGCTTTTGGATGGTAAGGGGTAGAGTGGAGATGCACAATTTTAAATTGCTCGCAAACCTCCTTCATCAAATGACTATTTAGATTGGCTGCATTGTCAGTGATACTGTTCTTTGGGATACCAAAGCGACAGATGATGTTGGAATGAACAAAATCTACCATTGCTTTCTTGGTGACTGCTTTGAAAGTGACGGCCTCCACCCACTTGGTGAAGTAATCAATTGTAACCAAAATGAATCTATGACCATTTGAAGCCTTTGGATCGATTGGCCCAATAACATCCATTCCCCAAGCATGACGATACTGCGAGAAGGAGGATTGGGCACTCATGATAGATTGAATTTTGTGGCTTGATTTGAAGGATTTACAAAAGGCCAAGGAGAGTCTGACAGAGGTGAGTGAATCAGGTCGCCATGAATCTGGCATTGGTGATACTTGCAAACAACATTGAAGCAATCTCGCTCCATAGTAAGCCAATAATACCCTGGCCGCAGAATCTTCTTCACCAAAACATATCCATTCATATGAGGTCTACATAAACCTAAATGCACTTATGCATGTCAACAAGTTCGAAATTGGGGTCCTTTTGTACAAAATTTCCCCATTCAAGAAGAAACCATCAGCAAGCCGCCTTATAGTTCTTTTCTAATCTCCAATGGCATGCTCCGGGTATTCCCTTGTTTTCAGGAATCATTTTATGTCATGATACCATGAATCACCATCTGGTTCTGTCTTAATACAACAACAACAACAACAACAACAACCCAGTAGAATCCCACAAGTGGGGTCTGGGGAGAGTAGTGTGTACGCAGACCTTACCCCTATCCTGAAGAGGTAGAGAGACTGTTTTCGAAAGACCCTCGGCTCAATAGTATTGCAGTAATCATGTTGATCCCGAACTTTAATTTCCAATGGATCAATATGAGTGTTGCCTGGATAAGGGAGCATCGAGGCTAAGGTAGCCAAGGTATCGAGTAGTTCGTTGTGAAACCTAGGAATATACCTGAACTCGATGGATTTGAATCTTTTGCTCATGTCTTCCACACATTGTCTGTATGCAATAAGCTTGATGTCTCGAGTCTTCCATTCGCCTTGGGCTTGCCGGATAAGCAAGTCAGAATCTCCCATAATCAATAGTTCATGCACATCCATATTGAGGGCCATCTTTAGACCTATGATACGAGCCCCATACACTATCGTATTATTGGTACAAAAGAATCGAAGTCGTACCGTTGGAGGGTAGTGTTATCCAATAGGTGAGATGAGGATTGCCCCGATCCCAACTCCTTTGATATTGAAAGCCACATCAAAATACATTTTCCATACATGGTTGTCGTCTGGAACTACTTCCTCTATTGAGTTGACCTCTTCGTCTGGGAAGTATGTGCTCAGTGGCTCGTAATCATCATCGACTGGATTCTCTGCCAAATGATCTGCCAAAGCCTGCGCTTTTATTGCGGTGCGAGTGACATAGATGATGTCGAACTTTATGAGCAGAATTTGCCATTTTACGAGCCTATTAGTGGGCAATGGCTTTTGGAAGATGTACTTCAAAGGATCCATTCAGGATATAAGGTAAGTAGTGTAGGCAAAAAGATAACTCCTCAACTTCTGAGCGACCCAAATCAAGGCACAACATGTCCTTTCTAAAAGGATATACTTAACCTCATAACTGGTGAACTTCTGGCTCAAATAATAAATTCCATGTTCCTTTTGGCCTGTCGCATCATGTTTCCCTAGAACGCATCCAAAGGAATTATCCATCACCAGTAGATATATAAACAAAGGCCTACTAGGTTCAGGTGGGACCAGTACAGGGGGTTTTGACAAATAATCTTTGATCCTGTCAAAAGCAATTTGGAAATCCTCCGTCCACTTGATAGTAGCATCCTTTTTCAGCAACTTAAAGATGGGCTCGCACATGTTGTGTGCTGAGAAATGAACCTATTGATGTAGTTCAATCTCCCGAGCAAACTCATGATTTCAGTTTTGTTCTTCGGGGGTGGCAGATCTCAAATGGACTTTTATCGATGGATCCAATTCGATGCCTCTTCGGCTAACTATAAAACCGAGGATCTTCCTAGACGGAACCCCAAATGCACACTTGGGTGGATTGAGCTTAAGGTCATACCTTCGCAGCCATTCGAAGAACGTTTTCAAATCGCACACATGATCATCCTGTGTCTTTGACTTTATGACGACATCATCGACATATACTTCAATCTCTAAATGGTGGTCATGGCCCTCATGTACGTTCCCCCTGCATTCTTCAAACCGAATGTCATGACCTTGTAATAATACGTACTCCCATGGAGTGGTGAAAGCGGTCTTTTCTACATCGTCCTCATCCATTAGAATCTGGTGGTATCTGGCATAGCAATCTACAAAAGATTGTATCTCATGCTTTGCGCAATTATCTACAAGGATGTGGATGTTTGTTAAAGGAAAGTTATCCTTTGGACTCACTTTGTTCAAGTCTCTGTAGTCAACACACCTCTAGTTTTTCCATCCTTCTTTGGAATAGGCACAACATTTGCCACCAACATAGTGTATCGGGCGGCTCTGAGTACATTAGCGCTCAATTGCTTCATAATTTCCTCTTTGGTTTTATCTTTCATGTCCGTTTTAAATTTTTGTTGCTTTTGTTGGACTGGTGGAAAGTCAGGATACGCGTGAAGCTTATGAACCACTAGATCATCACTTAAACCCGACATATCATCATAAGACCAAGCAAACACATCTATGTATTCAAATAAAATCTGAAACAAGGGATCTCTAGTTTTTTGTTCGCTGTGAATACTTATCTTTTGATTCTCTGATTTCTTCAAAATTTCCGATGTTAATTGACTCAATTTCATAGAGGTTGTGCTTGGGCTTGTTTTCAAATTTCTCCAACTCTCTTTTTATTTCCTCAACAACTTCATTGTCGTCATATTCAACCTCTTGATGCATTATTTCGAATTTAGACAGTTTTTAAGATCTGGGCGTGAATTCCGCATGCATGTCATATTATTAAAGAGGCACTAACAAAATTCAAATGGAAACAAAATGACAAGAATTAGAAAAAAGGAAAAGATACATAACTTAATACGAAACTGAACTGCATTTCATTGAATTTGAAAGGATAGAAGGGTTAACATCAAAACAAAACAATCATACTGAGATGTTTGGATTACAACCCTGAAAGTAACCTAATACAAAAAAGATGCTGCAAAAGCAAATTACCAAGTCTCCTTCCTTGTAGGGAGAGGAGTTGCTTCCCAATTGTTGAGCATGGTGTCTGGGTCAATTAGTTTCATATCGGCATGACTAGTACCTTAACCAGTCTGGATCATATTCACTTCAGAAAACATTTGGCTGAGGCCATGGCAAATTTCATAAATGTTTTCCTGCGGCAAGGAATTTTGACCATGTTGGAGTCGTGTATTGACAAAAGTGTATAAAATGTGAGGGGTCGGTTTTTGCAAGTCCCACCCATGCTTTTTGCGGTGCTTGGCTTTGCCTATGTCTGCTTGTGTTGGCCTGAAGCCTAAGCTAAAAGTACCCTTGTTACTAAAGGAAGAAATGGGTTCTCAAATCCCTTGCAGTGATTCCCCCAGGTCTTTTCCTGGCTCATAACCCTGTCTCAGCATGAGTACAGCCACCATTACAGATATGGCGGAAAGACAAGGATGCAGAATGGGCTTTCCTTATTCAACTTGGTCCACAACAACCACTTTGAAAGTCTGATAGACAATGGACTCACACCCTTCCTTGGCCTCAATACACGGGATTAACGGGTCTTTATAAATGGATGACTCATCTTCTCTGTGAATAATAATTTCTTACTTGTCATGTTTGAACTTGAGTATCTGATGCAAGGTGGATGACACGGCTCGAGCCATATGGATCCATGGCCTTCCCAGAAGAAAGTTATAAGAAGTTTCCATGTCCATGTCAATGATTGAGTAATTCTAAACTTTTATCTTTTTCAAAAACTTTTCCGCCTCTTATTTAGTGACCGGTTTATTTATTGGCATTTGGCATTCTCTAATTTGTTTGTACTTTCTCAACTCTTCTATAGAGTAACACATCCCCGATCGAGTCAAACCACCAGTTTTCCCCACTTCTTCTATGATTTCCTTGCCTTTGTAGGTCACCACAGTTTTGTTGTAGTTCCAAGGAATGGTTTTCGTGTTTTTCACACGGGGTTGTAAGGCGGTCTTGATTATGATCGGCTCTGTTATACCTTTTGTACCGCCCTGATTCTACCTTGTGATGGAGTGGCCTCCAAGGAAATACAACCTTGGGCTTGGAAAACTGGAGCGTACTTCCAACCTCGAGAATTTTGGAACAAATAAAGTTGCCTTCTCTGAGCACTGGGCACCTTTCACAATCAACGGTACATCTCGGCTTGGACTTACTTCCAGTCGTATTCCTTCTTTAATCGTTCCCACTGTCATTTTTGCTCAACCAACCGGCTTGTATTCTTGATCTCGGCCAATCATTCCCACAAAATGAACATCATTATGTGTTGGCAACAGGTTGTTTGTCACATTTGGAGGGTCTTCGCCATTTGTTACCACAATTAACTTTTCAGCGATGAGTCTTTATATGGCGCTTTTTAGAGTCCAACAATCATCAGTTCTATACCTCGGGGCACCTGAATGATATTCACATCTAGCATTTGCTTGAAATCCATGTGGATCGGGATGCATATGGTGGGGAGCGATGGGTCCAATCACGCCCATCTGCTTCAACTTCTGGAACAGACTAGAGTATGATTCAGTCAAAGGAGTGATTTTCTCCACCGATCTCTACTTCGACCATAATCTTGCCTGGGACGAGCATTGTAGGGTGCCCGAAAATTTTGCTGCTGAAGTTGGGGGATCCTTGAAGCTGGTGCCCGTACCTGTTGATTGGCAGGCCGAGCATAAGACTGGGCATTAAACACAATGTACTGTAGTGGGCCCATAGTGTATTGAGGAATTGGCTGTGGATAGTAATGTTGAGGGTAGCTGGACTGCCCTTGCTGAACTTGCATATAAGGGTGTGTTGCCCCTCTTTGAATTTCCCTGGATCCGAAGTCATCATGGACCCTTCATCTCTCTTCTTTCTATTTGCCAAACTTCCCTATCTATTTTGGATTGCTTGGGTGGTGGCTTTGAGAGCAGCTTGACTTA